CTTGAGCCCAGGAGTTTGAGGTTGCTGTAAGCTAGGCTGACGCCACGGCACTCACTCTAGCCCAGGCAACAGAGCCAGACTCTGTCTCGGGGGAGAAAAAAAAAAAAGTCTAATTTTATACTGTGCAATTGAGTAAGAGGCAACCTCACTGGGAAAGAAATCTTTGCTAGGGCTTAATATTCCGAAGTTTAGAATCAGTGTCATGTTAAAGTGAGAAGTCCACACATTTGCTCCCCAGAAATTGCCCCTCACTCACACGGGCATTAACTACATTCTTACCAGAATTACTTTTACTGACTTAGAATTTTACTTTTGAGTATTCCACCTACTGCAGACCGAAAAGAGTATCTATAGGGCTAAAACTAATTTTGAGAAGAGCTTCATTCACACTTAAAGTTCAAGTGCAGAAGTAAAAGTAAGTAGTAAAAACCTCTACTGTTTCTTAAATGCTGTTATTTGTATTAGTAAACCATGATCTCCTTCTCTACGCTTATCTTTTAAATATACAGTATTTTTTAATAAGTGGGAAAGTAATGATCTATTTGAATGAATAAATGGTAATATGATTATATCCTAAAAGGCTATTTGGCTCAGACATAATGTTCTTTGGAAAAATGACTTTAGTTAATAGACACATTACCGAGATTAGAATAGAACCAAAGAGATTCATAATAGCGATCACATATTTTATTAATAATTATCACCCTCAGCTTTTTAAATTTTTAAAAAATACATTTAGAGTCCTAGAATTGAAAAGATTCTCAGGGGAACTGAAAAGGTCAGTTGTCCTAACCATGTGATGTAGTTAACAACACAGGCCTTCAGAGAACTCAGATTACATGGCATTCTGTCACCGGATGTGTTGGTGGAGCACGTCTGAGTTGATCACCCCATGATCCTAACACTTGCTATCTGGGGTCGAGAGGGTCCATTTCTAGCAAACAGGTTCTTTCTCCCCAGCCACGCGCAATCATTCCTCACATAATCCTGGGGGGATCGTAAGAAGAAAGGCAAGGGACAAGGAGAACAAATGAAAAGAAAGAAAACTGGAACTATAACCTGCAAGGGATAGAATAAAAATTTGTATTTCTACTTGAGATAATGCTAGATTAGTGCAGTGAGTCGCCATGATCTCACAGTTTAGAGTACAACGAGGAATCAACCATACGCTTTGACAATCTTGAATTACACAATATGCTTAATACTGTGGGATTCAACAAGTTTTGTTACTTTATAATGTGAAGATTTCAGCTTCACAGACCCAAAACAAATGAATCCAAGAGGGGTTAGTTCAATCCTGAGGCTAAAAGACCACCTACAGCACTTTAACATACACACACACACACACAGACACAAATTCCTGTGTAGACACATAACAGAGCTACGATAGCATTTCTGGAAAGCCTTTCAAATGCTTCCTTCTGTATTTTTCAGTGGCATTTATTCAGCCCTACTCATTAGACATTACGAATTTGTCAAGAATGTTTAATTGCCCTTTGCTCATAAAAGGTTCTGTATCCAGAATTATTTCAAGACTGTTAGAGTAGCCAGTTACCTTTTATCCAACTACAAATCTAAAAAAAAATTGTAATTTGGGAGTAGCAAAGGTCCCTGATGGGTTTCTGGAATAAAAGAGTCTCTTAGAAAGATGGGTGGGCTATTAACTCCAAGGAATCCACTTAGAAGTCCCCTGACAATCTCGAGCGAGCAATGGATGCCCGGTGACAAGGCCTCGGGATTAGAAAAGAACCGAATCATTAGACACAGGGCAGAGCCAGGGTGGGGGGTGGGGGGGGACGGAATTTTTTTTTTTTTAATCCTGTCCCATATAGTTCATTAGAATTCAAGGTAAATAAAAACCAGAACAGGTGACCGAGGAGTAGGGGAATGGATACCGCAGCTTCTTTAGTCCATCTTTCAGATACATGTGATCATAAACATTTTTTTTTTTTTTTTTTT